AGAGACAAGAGAGTCTTCTTAAATGAACAGTGCAAAGAAATAGAGGAAAATAACAGAAAGGGAAAAACCAGCGATTTGTTCAATAAAAAATTGAGATGTTAAATGAATATTTTGTGCAAAGATTGACATGATGAAGGACAAAAATGATAGGGACCAAACAGAAGCAGAAGACATCAAGAAGAGGTGGCAAGAATACACAGAGGCATCATAGCAGAAAGATCTGAATGTCCCGGACAAACCGAGATAGCGTGGTTGCTGACCTTGAGCCAGACATCCTGGAGAGTGAGGTCAAGTGGGCCTTAGAAAGCATGGCTAACAACAAGGCCAGTGGAGGTGATGGCATACCAGATGAACTATTTAAAATCTTAAAAGATGATGCTGTAAAGGTGCTACACTCAATATGCCAGGAAGTTTGGAAAACTCAGCGGTTGCCAGAGGATTGGAAAAGATCATTCTACATCCCAATCCCAAGGAAGGTCAGTGCCAAAGAATACTCCAACTACCATACAGCTGTACTCATTTCACACGCTAGCAAGGTTATGCTCAAAATCCTCCAAGGTAAGCTTCAGCAGTATGTGGACTGAGAACTCCCAGAAGTACAAGCTGGATTTTAAAGGGGCATAAGAACTAGAGACCAAATTGCTAACATGCGCTGGATTATGGAGAAAGCCAGAGAGTTCCAGAAAAACATCTACTTCTGCTTCATTGACTACACAAAAGCCTTTGACTGTGTGGACCACAGCAAACTATGGCAAGTTCTTAAAGAAATGGGAGTGCCTGACCACCTTATGTATCTCCTGAGAAATCTATGGGACAGGAAGAAACAGTTAGAACTGGATATTTATTTATTTATTTATTGCATTTATATCCCGCCTATCTAGTCAACGACCACTCTAGGAACAACTATGGAACAACTGATTGGTTCAAAATTGGGAGAGGAGTACGACAAGGCTGTATATGTCCCCCAGCTTATTTAACTTATATGCAGAATACATCATGCGAAAGGCCGGACTGGAGGAATCCAAAGCTGGAATTAAGATTGCTGGAAGAATTATCAACAACCTCACATATGCAGATGATACCACTCTGATGGCAGAAAGTGAGGAGAAATTAAAGAACCTCAGCTGCCTAGAGTGGTCCTCGCCCGACCAGATAGGCGGGATATAAAATAAATAAATAAATAAATAAATAAAATAAAAATTAATGAGGGTGAAAGAGGAGAGTGCAAAAAATGGTCTGAAGCTCAACATCAAAAAAACCTAAGATCATGTCCACTGGTCCCATCACCTCCTGGCAAATAGAAGGGGAAGATATGGAGGCAGTGACAGATTTTACTTTCTTGGGCTCCATGATCACTGCAGATGGTGACAGCAGCCACAAAATTAAAAGATGCCTGCTTCTTGGGAGGAAAGCGATGACAAACCTAGACAGCATTTTTAAAAAGCAGAGACATTTTCCAGTAGTGATGTATGGAAGTAAGAGCTGGATCATAAAGAAGTCTGACTGCCGAAGAATTGATGCTTTTGAATTGTGGTGCTGGAGGAGACTCTTGAGAGTCCCCTGGACTGCAAGGAGAATAAACTTATCCATTCTAAAGGAAATCAACCCTGAGTGCTCACTGGAAGGACAGATCCTGCAGCTGAGGCTCCAATACTTTGGCCATCTCATGAGAAGAGAAGACTCCCTGGAAAAGACCCTGATGTTGGGAAAGAGTGAAGACAAGAGGAGAAGGAGCTGACAGATGACAAAATGTTTGGACAGTGTCATGAAAGCTACCAACATGAATGTGACCCAGCTCCGGAGGCAGTTGAACACAGGAGGGCCTGGTGTCCTCTGGTCCATGGGGTCATGAAGAGATGGACACAACTTTTAAATCTCTTTTAAAAATTGATTATATTGACCATTTTTAACATGATACTTATTTAATTCTTTTTAAAAATATTTTACTCACATTTTTAAGCTTTTAAATGTTATCTTTTGATTGTTGTAAGTCACCTTGGGTCGTTTAAGGAGAAAGTCAGGGTAAAAAGATAAATAAATAAATAAATATTCTTTATTAAAGTGAGATGTGTTGGCTAGTAATCTTAAATGTGGTGACTATGATGTGCAAGCTTTAAAAGTGCTTGTGCTTCCAGAAAAATTGGGGATCCTTTCTGTACACACTTACCTATGGAAGTAAGTTTAATTTACATAATCCTGTTTCCTCCACCCTTGTGCCCCTTTTGCTTGACCTTCAAGCCTCAGAGCACATGAAGGCAAACATTCTCCTCTTTAACACTGCTGCCACCAGGTGATCCCTAAATCACCATTACCTCAGAAAGATTCAGGTCCACTCCTCAAGTTCTTTTAAATAAAACTTTGGTTTATTGATTACAGAGATTGATTCATAAATATCTTCAGTAGCTAATCACACCTCAGAATTTCCCAAACTACACACTCTATTACTTTCTCTGACTTTTCTCTACTGCCTGACTCTTACGTTTCTCTGACTGACTGACTGACTGACTCAGGCTCTGCCTCTTATAGCATCTCTCTCGGCTCCACCTCTCAGCAACATTAATATGCATGAACTATTCCATTACATAACAAACATGAACCATTATATAATACAACAAAACCCATAGATCTAATAAATGGAGAACGCTACAGCCTAATTCATAATTCGAGCTAGCCTGTTTCCTTTCCTCTGATTCTCTTTTTAACCACCAAAAATATCTAACAATCCAAGATAATGGTAATTCAGAATCAATGTTTCCCCTTTATAATTGAATTTACTGCAATGGCAGTAGAATGGGCATTTTCTTTTGAGATGTCTTCTTTCCAAGCATTGATTCAGAATCAGGGAAGACTGAATGATGCTGATTTCTCATCTTGCTCCCTAAGCAAGATCAAGCTATGAAACATGTGGTCTTATGGAACATAGCAATGACTATTGTTTCTCACTACTTGTTTTACTGGTGTAATAGCAGCCGTGCACATAGCAGTTTACTGAATGCAAGAAGAAAGATCTTTATTTCAAGAAGCTTAAAATCTAAAATTCAACAGAGTAGAAATGGAAGAGGAATTTGAGGGTGTTTCAAAAACTGGATTAAATGGGGAAAGAACATGGACAGAATATTCTTAAGAAAACCCCTGCATGAAAGGACAAGCATGCAGAAACACACACACACCCCAGCATTGGCTGGCCACCATACAATTGTTTGTGCATGTGATTTCATGACCAGTTTGTTACTAGTTATTGAAGGGACAACCTACTGGAGGGACATTTGTGTTATTGGCTGTCCATGATCATATGCTGTTTCCTGAAAACATGCAGGACTGTGGCCTGTATGTTTTCCTCGGTTATACTTCATTAGGCTTGAATATAGGCTTAGATGTTGTACTGCATGGCCAAATGTGGATTTTTAAGAGGAATTTCAGGGAGCATCATTTCAGTGTCTGTTCTAAGCACATGAGTCTGAATTACATTTGCCATGCTTCTGCCTCCTGTTTACAAACCTTTCAGGTTGACAATCCTCTTCAGGAGTGCCAGTACACGTTATTATTCTCCATGCTACTAGGATGCAAGAGAAGGAAGATGTGAGTGCTCATCACAAAACACAGCAAGACTGGAACTGAATCCTCTTTCACCCTCTCCTTTAAAAAAAGAGAGATCCTTGTGGACACAGAAAGACGAAAGATCAATCTTTCTTTTCCTTTCCTTTTCCTTTTGGAGAGAGAATAGTTTGGCTCCCATTTGTTCATGATGACAGAATAGGATGGCAAATAAAGTCCCCACCTTTCTTAATTTTTAGTATGGGCATCCACATGTGTTGAATCACACATTCCTCTGCTCCTCAAAGAAAATCCTAGACTGATAAGGAAGCATTACAAATGTTACAATTTGTCAGTAGTTTTAAAAGCTTAGTAGATCATGTATCTCAGGCAATTAGTAAGCTGAAGCTCTTGATATGAGAGGCAGTATTGACATTGCAGTTTCCTGGAAAGCTTCTGGTAAATGACACTGAATATTTTATTTACACACATTATTGCTAAGTAACCAAGGGACTACAAGAAAAATATCAATATATTAGAATTTTGGGCTTCACAATAAAAGTCTTGTCAATATATATTTAAAAGGTCACAGGTGGTTTAATATTTTGGTGTGAAGGTAGTTCATGTGTGAAGCCACAAAATATTTTCTATTGAGGAAAGTATATTTTCAGCTGGCGATTCAGGTGTAGATCTTTCTTCCATTTCTACTCCTCATCTTCATAAGTTGGCAGAATAACAGAGAGAACGTTTAGGAATAGAAAAGCAACACTTGAAACCATTGTGTTGCCATGGCAGTTGGGCTAAATTAACCAATAGAGAAGTTATCCAAGAAGATTCCTATGATGCTTACAGTACAGGAAAAGAAGGGATTATTCAGAAATATTTTGAAGAAGACATTGGAACCAGATATATCAGAATCCTTGGAAGTTTGTTCTAGGAAGATGAGTATATTTTGCCAAAGTGGAAAAGAGAGAACGTGAAGAAAGTTGGAGAATAAAGATATAGGGTCAGATAATTTGGTTTGGAGTGAGAAGGGGTGTTTAGAGTAATCAGGATACTGTGGCCACAAGTTCTAGCATGTTCTCTGACTTGTAATAACACAAGCAGGGATAGCCACGTTCAGAACAATGGGAGCTTCCACTACTGCAGTGGGCAGTGAATAGAATACAATCCTTTTTTGCTTGAGGAGAAAAAAGGATAATTACTGTGAGCCTGTTTTCCAGAAAACTATTAAGGAGCACACATTTGCAAGCTTTCTTCATAAATTAAATGTGGTGGATCATTAAAACTCCTTGGTCTTTTTCAGCATGTAAAATATTTAGGTTCTCCCTATAACAGGCTCAACAATCCTGAATGAGTATGAGCTGCTGTGTGGAAAAAAACTTGATGTTCAGACTTGTATTTATAATTTTATATATGGGTTGAGCAATTTGTGTTTCATATTTAATGCACCTGTTTTCTTGCAGATAACTGGAATCCATCTTCCCACCCATACAAGAAAATGGATTATGGGAAATGGGAGTTGTTCATCCCTGCTGGGCCAAATGGATTTTCTCCTGTTCTTCATGGATCAAAACTAAAGGTACCAGTTTCAAAACTCTACTTTTGTTCTATATTCAGTCATTCAGAGTTTATACTGAAGTTTTCTTGGTGTTCTGTGATATGTCAATTTATATTTTAAAGTTCATAGGAGATTTTTCAGAACCTTCTCTTCACCTACATGACGTCCTGTCAAAATAATATAAAACAAAGGTTTCATGACTATAGTGAACAAAGGGGATTATGATGAATAACACAGGTGACTTTATGGAAAACGTAAAATGACTGAACATAAATAAGGGATTAATAGATGTTAAGAGAAACCAAGGAAGACAGTGTCGGGATTACAAGTTAGGGAAATCAGACCAGTGGAGCAGTCCAAACTATGTGTCAGGACAAAAGCAGTGACAATCCAATAATAAATGGGCACAGTTTTGATGCAATCCTGAAAGTGACGAAAACTTGCAGAAGGGAATTTTCTTGCCTGCCCACCCCCTCATCTTGACATCAGGACTAGTTGCTGGGAAATATGAATGGAAGAATGGTAATTGTATTCATGTCCTGCTTTGGGTTTCCTCTTGGCTAGGCCATTTTGGGAATGGTATTCTGGATTTAACAGGCTTTTGATAATTCGCTATGGCCCCTCTTATGTTTTGGTAAAAATTCACATATGACTATAATATGAACTGTAGTGGTTTCTCATAGTTTTGCTCTTCGAGATGACTCTCAAGTGGAAGAATATGCAGTACAGTATGGCCATATATGAAACACTTCTTTTGTGAAAAGAAGGCATCTTTGGCATGAGGACCCTGTTATTGTTAAGAAAGCTGTCATGGTAGGCATCAAAAGAGACAGCATACAGAACAAGTGTTATACAAACTGTTGGCCAGTAGCTATTACTATTGTTGTCTGGGAGGCCACCAATATATTGCAATAGCAGCATTTAGCATTATGTAAGTCAACTCAAAAAAATAATAGAATTGTTAGTTTGGGGCACCTCTAACTATGAAACTGGACCTCATATAAGCCCCAAATTTGACAAATGTTTTTTCAGTTGCAATTTTTAAAAAGTAAAGCTGTTTTGCCCCTCCCTGTACAGACTACCATTCACAGTTGTTGAAAAACAGTCTTGACAATTGCTTTGTATTTGAGTAAAAATGCTTAACCGATGAAGGAAAAGGAGTCAGATTCTGAGATCTTCCCTTGTGTGGTTTCACTTTGTGATTGGTAGTGAACAGAAGAGGGGTTCCTGTAGACCATCTTGACTTGCTGCCATAGGTGCTGTGAACATTCTGGTGGCCCTTTGCCATGTAACACTTGACATCCTTATTCCTGCTGGCAACACAGGCACAATATGTAGCAATATTGGGCCATTTCCTGGCTTTTTGGATCAAGAGTAGAGAAGCACAATACCCTATATTTATAAATCAGAAGTGTTTTTGGGGGTGGGGATTGAATTCACAGACACTGGTACAAGTCAAACTACAAATACAGTAGTACGTCAGTTTACGTGCGCCTCGGTTTACTTAATTTTCGGTTTACAAGCCAAAATCTGTAAGAAATAATGCCTCAGTTTACGGTTTTTATGGGTTTTTTTCTGCTGTACGAAAAGGATGCATCGCGTCTGGAGGTTTTTAGTGCCACCCCTATTGCTACGGCAATCTGCAGTCCGGTTTACGTAATTTCTGTATTACGTAATGTCCCGGATATGTAATTGACGGATTAATTTTGTAAACCGAGGTATTACTATATTTTCATCTTTTAAGAAGGACCAATGTGAACAATAGCTCCTTAATTCCTGGGATTAATTGATTGTAATCTTTTAGGATGGGTCATATAAAATATTTTTAAATCTGTGGTATTTTTAAAAAGACTCTTAGTTTTAATAAGCTTTCATATTTTGCTAGTGGTGTTATGGACTTGGGATTTTGTGCTTTGCAAACAGTGCTTCATTTTTTGCAGAAAAAAGAAAAACAAATGTAGTTAATATTTTAATTGTTAATATGAATTACTTAGGATATGGAGAGTCATTTCATTCAAATATCATGACAGCAATGCAGCTAATTTTTGGACTTCATTCTAGGTCTTTGGGTAAGTGATAGAAATGCTTTCATATACTTCTGTTTAGTGTGATTTGTGAAAATGCAGGCAAAATGGGCTATACAGCCTTGGTTGTCTCAAAATGTGCACAGTCTAATATTTAGTAATTTTGAGATGTATGTCATCATTATTGGTTCAACCAAACACTGATTTCAGGACTATTTGGAAAAAAAACCCAAAAGAGGAACTAGCTTGTGCCTGATGAGGTTAGAATTATGGCGAGGACCTTTAATTTAGAGCAGGGTATTGGTCACTGAATTTTCCACATTAAAATAAATAAGGAACAGAGGTCACAAACATAAAGTTAGTTTATAAAAAGTAGTGTCTACTTATTTCGCATTCTATATACAGTCCTTTTTTATTTTTAGTTTAATGGCTGGAGAAAATTAGTTATTAAAACCCTAGTTGCAGGTGAATCTCATTTTTCTGTCCAATGGGATTAACCTTATAAATCAGCTGAGGTTTGTTCCCCTGACTGTTAGCAAGTTTTCAAAATGAGTTTGTCAAATACTGAAGGTCAGACAAGTTTCTATCACAGGATGTGAGGTAATGAAGTATTGAAAATGGATCTTCCTTTGCTTTGAGCAAAACCATACCTTAATCATACATGCTAACAGTATGCTTAGTTTTCCAAGTGCCTTGAGTTACTGTATGTGGCTTTAATAAGCAAACCACAGAAGCCTGTCTTGAGTTCTTAATGTAGGATGCACTCTGTTTCTAAGGGTAATCTATTCAGTTATATCATTTTTTGCAGTAATCCCGTCTAAGGCAGGGAAATGGCCCTTTAACCTATCTGGCGGGGCATCTACCAGCAGCACTTCTGACTTGTCTGGATTGAGCCTCAGTTTATTGACCCTCATCCAGACCATTATCGAGTCCAGGCATGAGTTCAGAACGGTGACTGCCACACCTGGATTGGTAGAAAATGAGAGGTAGAGCTGGGTGTTGTCAGCATATTGCTGACTCCTCAGCCCAAACCTCCTAAAGTCCCCCCCCAGCGGTTTCCTGTAGATATTGAATAGCATGGGGGACAGTGTAGAGCCCTGAGGAACCCCATGACGCAACAGCCAATGTGTCTTTCTACTTGTATGATTTCCTCTGTACCTAAATTCTAGCCATAAACAAATATGAGGAAGATTATTTCAGAATATTGTAGAACAATATTCTGCACTACCATGCAGGGCACTTTAAAAAATGCAGTAACTGTATTAGGCCAGTTAGTATGTTAGTGTTAGTCAGTAGTGTTTTTTTATTTTTGCTTCATTTATCTTTTATAAATGAGTGTGAAGGAGGAAGTACATAAACCTATGCTTTTTATGAACTCTTTAAGGCAGTTAAAGAGTTCATCAGGCAGTTTAAAAGTTCATAAGACTGCCAAGACTTTGGATTGACAACCAGCCTGAAGAAAACAAAGGTCATGGGCCAGGGCGTGGACTCACCTCCCTCTATTACCATCTCCACACAAGAATTAGAGGTTATTCGTGACTTTGTGTACTTTGGCTCAACCATCTCTGACACTGTCTCCCTAGATGTCGAGCTGGTAATGCATTGGCAAAGCAGCTACCATGTTCTCTAGACTCACAAAGAGAGTATGACTTAATAAGAAGCTGACGGCACATACCAAGATCCAGGTCTATAGAGCCTGTGTCCTGAGCACACTCCTGTACTGCAGCGAATCGTGGACCCTTTGTGCACGGCAGAAGAGGAAGCTGAACACGTTCCATATGCGTTGTCTCCGATGCATTTTTGGTATCACCTGGCAGGACAAAATTCCAAATAGAGTAGTCCTAGAACGAGCTGGAATTTCTAGCATGTATACATTACTGAAACAGTGACGTCTACGTTGGCTTGGGCATGTCATGAGAATGGCTGATGGTCGGATTCAAAAAGATCTCCTGTATGGAGAATTAGTGCAGGGAAATTGCCCCAGAGGGAGACCACAGCTGCGATACAAGGATATCTGCAAGCGGGTTCTGAAGGCCTTAGGAATGGACCTCAACAGATGGGAAACCTTGACACCTGAGCATTCAGATGTCAAATTTCCCATGCCACACTAGACGCTGTTCCAAGTCCTCCATACAGAGCATGTTACCATAGTCTCTTGAGACTGAAGGATGCCTAATCTAAATCTAAGGCAGTTTTAGTAATGAAATACTCTATAACTCTATGCACTTAGTTAAAAAAAAGTGATGAGGGATATAAATAACAATACATCTGATAATTTGCTT